TATATATATATATATAGATAGATATATATATATATATATATATATATATATATAATTCGAAAACAGAAGAAAAAACACGAAGACTGAAGTATAAAAAAATAATAAGAGTAGATGAAAGAAAACAAAGAGAGTAATTATATTACTCAAATACCATTCTTTCTTTATTTATTTTCTCATTTATAAATAGCGAATATCTGTCTTTTGTGACAGTTAAAAGTGTTTTAGAGTGGGTGATCCTTGACATTTTGGCATACTAAATTTCCATACAACGCAGAACTCTATTATAGTATTTTTTTCCATTTGATTTTAGAATGATAAAATATTTAATAAAGCATTGTTTAACATTATGCCACAGATTTAGAGATGCCTAAACTGACTTTACTTACCTGTCCACTGGAAATCCATCAATGATCAAACAGTCTCAGATAAACCAATAAGAATACGTTGGGAATATGAATTTTCCAATAGGAATAGTGCAAATATCTAGTTGCCATTCAAGATTACAAAATTATGACAACTGATTTATTTATTTCCCTCAATGATATAGTTCAGCCTCTGGTTTGGACATCTCTATTGAAAGTAGATATAAACCAATCTTTTCCTAAACGTACGAAACCAATGTTATCCTAACATTAGAAAAAATTAACCTTTGTCTTAACATAATTATTTTAATAAACATTAATAAATATTTGTTTTCCATGAATATTTTATTTATGTAACACATAAATCATTTAAATCGCACAATAAATTAATTTAAATCTCGTTATATTGTAATATTATCATGACAATAGTTTCACGATAAAATTAGGTTTTTAGTTAAAATTATTTATTTACACTATTTATAAATTTAAGCCAACTGTTAAATAGCCAACAGTTTACATTGTAAGAAATTAACATTCTCTAAATATACTAATATTACTTTGCCGTAAATTAACAGCACTACTTTTTACTTCAACAAACTCCAAGCAAGTACATTTTAGTACAGAAATTCGAAACTTGTTGGAGCTAAAGTAAAATTATATTTATATTTTATATGCCTGGACGAAAATAAATTTCGTCGAAATGCCTCACCTGCTTCACTTATTTATAATAAAATACATAATTTTGCATTCATTTCCATTCTTAAAAAATGTTTAAATTATATTCCTAGTGCTTTTGGTTATAAAAATAGATTACAAAGTATCAATTTCAGCATAACTTTAGTTAATCTAACACTGTCTTTATAAATTTTATTTTATTAAGTAACAAAAAATAACGTAATTCGTTTCAAACAGACAATTCTATATTCAAGGCATTTTTTAAAATAGTTTTACATTTTCTTCGCTTTTTGCAATAAATAAGCGATTTTGTATGAAGATTAAATTATTTGAAAGCAAAGTTTTCATCTTAATTCGAAATATTTTCTAACTCTGAACCGACAATAATTTTCTTCATTTATTATCATCAAAATAAAAATTTATATTAATTATACATTTAATTTAAAAATTGAGAATTTGACTGGTACATTAAAAGTAAAACAATCAAACCACATCCAGTAGGAATGCTTTTCAAATTTGTAAAAATCGCGAATTTTATTTTATTATTCTTTAAGATTTTAACTTTTTGTATTTAATTTTCTGAAAAAAATATTTAAAATAACGATGAACAGTTATTATTAAATAAAGAATAATGAGGTAGCGTGAAAATTATGAATTGAATCAATCGAAACATCAATCGTTTAACTATTAGCAACCGTTAACCATTAAACGATAAACTTTTCAAAAGTTGAAAACGGCTTCAAAAACTCCGTATCACGGAATAGACCCAATATTTTAAAGTGATAAAAATACGTAATTGTTTGAAAAACGCGATTTTATGAATAATCTAATTTTGGAATCATTTTCCAATTTTCAGTTTGAAAAGTTTGTGATTAAGCATGATAAGACATATCAATATACTTTATGTGTAACTATTATTTCATTGCGAAAGTTTGTAAGTTGCGCAAAATATAGAAGCTATTTTTAACATATGATTTATATAAAATTTGAATCTGCACAAATTTAAAATTAGGGAACGAAATCCACAAACTATTAGCATGAATACTACCAACCTCACGAACTAACTCTCCCTAAATTTGATGAATACGAATTATTTAAAATATGATCTGTATATAATTTAACGTAAAACAAGTTTTCAAAAATTGGTAATTTTATTAAAAAAATTATGTAACACGAATTATACAATTAATTAAAAATTATTTTTACGGTTATTATTTTTTCGGTGATGACAGCTTTTATTAACATGAACAAGCCCTGTTTAAACAACTCGTGAATTCCTAATCAGTTAAAAAAAATTTCAATTAAAATAAACAATATTAAAATTCATTTTTGAAAAATTTGGTAAATATTAGTTTGATTAGACTATTACTACTCCGACTGATGGAGACATAAATATTCCTTAAGAAATATTAGCAGCAATATAAAAAGTATAACTCAAATAATTGGGGTAGGTAGAAATTGCTTTAAGGATCATTGTACGGTAGCAAGTATTATTTCTTTATATTCGTTGGTGTGAAATGATTTGTATTCAAAATGCTGTACATTCAAAATGTTGTACATTCAAAATGGTGTAAAATTATACATATTCAAAATGGTGTAAGATGATATGTATTCAAAATGAAGAAAATAAGTAAACTAATTTTTTACGTACAAAATTATAACATTATTTTAAATAAAGTTTCATTGAACATTACAATAATAACATTTCATAAAATTAATTAATTTTCACAGATCAAATTTGAATTATTGTATTATTATAGCTTTTTGTCATGGTAGTATTTTAAAAAGGAATATTCTAAAGATATAGAATTTTCCTGCGATTTTAATTTACAACAATCTTTTTTTTATGCCTGAAAAAGGTTATTGATTGCTTGGATTAAAAATAAAAACACGCACGCAAGCATTCAGGAAAAAACCGGTCAATCACAGCATATTACAGCGAATATTATTTCTTTTAAAACCTTGTAATACCCAATAAAGTGGGAAACACTTTCATCAATATACACTTATGATCTTAAGATATACCAACAATTATCCAAATTTTGAGAGTAACAGTTGGTGAGATTCTCTTGAAAGTGATTATTATTTTTATTCTTAATAGAAAATAAATACCGAATTAAACGATGTTTCCTTTTATCGGTTGTTTACATTTTAACAACTATGAATGGAGATAAATAACCCGTGAAATCCATCACGCAGAAATGTTCTGAGGCAGATTATATCACCCTTAACTGTTTGATTTCCGGCACTCAGATTGACTCCTCCGGCAAGATTCAGACATTTTTCAGGAAATGAATCAAATGCCTGATATTTCTTGCCACGGAAATAATCAAAATTAAATGATTAAAGTTATGATGTAAGATTAAAATGAATTATTCGTTTGAATTTCTTTATTTCATCATTTATATATTTCAATTGATATTTGTATAATACTTTAACAGATTTCCTTGTAGAAGATTTGGCTTGAAATACTTTTAAAATTTTAAATATATGTTGTTGATGTTCATAGGCCATTAAGGCACTGGGGGAGCGATTGCTCTTGTTTTCCATGGTGCCATCTATGGCCAAGAATTCGACTTCTGCCACACCCGTTTATGGGGCGGACCCATTCGTACATCCATTCGTTAATCCACAGATCGTCCTTTTGACTTGAGCCAGAGAACGATCAATTTCTTATCCAGTACCCCCAGAGGTTTATTTTGTTATGGGAACAGCGAGGACTTTATGACTTGACAGATTTAACTTGCACCAGTCTCCATTTACTACACGGGGAATCTTCCGTCTGTTGGATTCGAACTCCCGTTCTCACGAAAGTGAGTCCAGCGCCCTACCAACCAGGCTATCCCGGCCATATATATTTCCCAAATTTCCCTTTTACTTCAGAAAATTTTCAAAATAGATGCAAATTTGTTCTGCTTTGTGAAAATGACTTATCTTGTGGTAGAAAAATTTATGTTGATTCTAACGTTAGAAAATTTCCTTAAAGTTTTTTTTTTTTTTGCCTACCTCTACATTTAAATAATTGAAATATTCATAGAACATGCCACTTTATTTTAATTTTCTTTTGTGTGCCTTTTAAAGTATTGGCGGGAAAAAAATTAAATGAGTTTTTATTTTTTCTTTAAAAAAAACTTAACTAGACTAAGCTAAAATAAAACTTCACTAAAACAAAAATTGTTGAAAACGGAGCAGTTGGCATCCTTGAAAAAATTCGAAGCGCTTGGGGTAATATCATGATAAGTCATGCTCTAAGGTGAGACTTTTACATCAAGATATTCCTTACAATTGTTTTCAGATAGGTACGTTAAAAGTTTCCTGAATTTCCCCGAGATTAAAGCACAATTCACAGAAATGTTTTCTCATATTATTTCCAAACCTATAAGAAGTTTTTTTTGTGTATAAAAGCTGAGTTTTATTGAGTAATTAAAAATCTTTCTTGTAAACTAAATTTGAATGTTGAGTTTAATAAAAGCATTTTTTTTTTTTAAAAAAATGGTTTTTAAACACAACTATGCTGTATTTTTTTAACCATAACAGTCGTTTAGAGGTAATACATTTCGAAAGTCTAAAAATGATCCAATGAAAGAAAGTATATTTTTAAAACACGTTTAGAATTTTAATCATTGCTATAAAATTCTGATACATACGTTTTGAGCTACTGTTATTTATCATTTATTTATTTATATTGCAATGAAGTAGAATAGCCTCTTATCCAATTTAGTTCTTATAAATATGATGAATTTTGGTAAGAAAACAATTGTGTTAAACTCATTTAGTACATTATATGAGATTCCATATTTTGGGTATATCTGACAAGACATTCAAAAGAAAGGTTAGTAATAGAATAAACAAGAGACAGTTAAATTACAAATTAGATTATTGGGGAAGTAAAGTTTATTTACTTTTCATATTAATCTTACGGAAATTGTATAAAAATGAGTTTTTATTCTGAGTTGTTTTCTAGAAGTTTGGTTTTTAAACTGCAAATTGAATTAGCCATTCCTTAAATGAGATTTATTATATAATTTCCTTTTTGCAAGCTCTAGGATATAAACTGCTAAACATTTGAATGTAATTTCTTTTTACAACTTCTAGGATGTAAACTGTAAAGCATTTAAATACTATTCTTTTTCATCAAGTCCAGAATATAAACTGTAAAACTTTTAAATGCAATTCTACTTTTCAAAGTTTAGAATGTAAACTGTAAAAATTTGAACTCAACTCTTTGCATAGTTGAAGATATAAACTGGAAAGTTTTTGAATACCATTTCTTTTCTTCTAAAGTCTATATGGAGAAAAAAATCCTGGTACAATTAGCGTATTGTATCGCAAAAACATTTCAAGTGAAGAAAAAAAATAATAATACATGCTTCTTGTAATAAAACCCAAACATACGGCAATTAAGTCATTCATATGTAAACGGTTTCTATTCATATGGTAACGGTTTGCAGTAAATTTTGATTTTCAAAATTGTACTTCTTTTTACCACACATTTAGGGCAAAAATACAAAACTGAAAATGAAAATTTAACAAAATAAATGCTTTTTATGCCATGCTCTAAAATATCTTAATAAATTACCAAATTTAGCACAGATTATAAAACAATATGACAATAATTATTATTAATTTTAACAAAATCAGGAAATAACCATTACCACCGTGCTTTTTGGAGTTCGAATAGAGCCAGAAATACTGTAAATTGTGTCATATTCCAATAGTTTTGGCCATACTTTTTTTCTCAGCGTAGGATGAAAATTGCAAAGCTTTTAAATGCAATTTTATTTTGCTAAGTTCAGAACGTAAACTTCAAGATTTATGAATGAATAAACTCCTTCTTTTCAAGATACAGAATGTAAAATGAAAAACTTTGGAATGCAATTTTTTTTTATCAAAGTCTGGTATGAAACTTTTGAATGCAATTAAGTTTGAATAATTTAGTAAATTTTTTTTAATTTATTTACAGAATTTAATTTTTCTCATATACTTTGAATTGCCTATATCTGACTTAATTGTTCATAACCATTGAAATAAAATTTAGAACGTTGAATTTATGCATCTCATTTATCCCTAGTTTTTATTTTTCAATTAGGAAACAATTACCTGAGGTAAGATGGTCAGCGTCTTCAGAAAACTAAACTGCTGGTAGCAAAACTTCTAAAAGAAGATGCGAAAACTCCCCTCTTTACCTTTGCAATTATTTTTAAAAAAATATTTCCATTAGAGAATCTCTGCGAGGGATTTTTGTTCTCAAAATATTAAATTTGAAAGGTTAAGCAGTGAGTCCATATCAACGTCAAACGTCCAAACGTCCATTTTCAACCGTCCATTTCGAAATTTGACTACCAATTTTCTTAAGACGCCGATCAGTTTAGTCTATGAAGACTCCTGCAGTACACTTAAAATGAAACAAACATCGTCTGACTTATTTTCAACAACTAATGCTTTAAATCACATGTTCTAAGAATTGTAACAATATAATATTAAAATCTAATATTTATTCATTTTTAGGATAATGATTGATCTTAAATTGGTGTTCCTCGCCCTTGTGGTGGGCGTGGTATACGCCGAAGCATCGTGTTGTGTTTACTACCACTACTACCCAGTTCATCACAAAAAGTAAGTAAAAACCATAATAATATTCTCAACTTTCTAAATTATTTCGAATTTCTGCTTTATTTTAAGTACATGGTGGTTATGAAGTAACACTAGGTATTCGGAACCTTGTTAATAGTATACTATTGTATTGTACTTTAGAAATTTGTATAAATATCATAGACTCTTAACCTGGTCCATGATTTTTTTTCAACAATTTTCTCTTCCGTGTGTCATGTATTAGGTTTGAAAAGATCTCACGTACCATTTTATCCGATAGTTCTTTCAACAAAAAAAATATATTGTTTAATTGTTTATTTTGTAATATTTATAACTGCATATTGTTTATAGCATTAATATCAGAATAGATAGTTGAAGTTCATAAGGAAATTATTTAAATTTCAAATTTTAAAAATTCGATGCCAATATTTAAAACCCTCTAATATCTTTTCTCAGTGAATTTCTCTACTTCATTTCCTTTGCTCTATTAAATCAATCATAAATTCTAGAAAAACGATTAAATGCAAAAACAGTGAACGCAGTTAAATTTAAGCATCATTTTTTTGTATTTTTTAACATTATTCAAAGTAATTTTTTGTTTATTCGTTCTATATGAATTGTGTCACAGTCACTCAGGCATTGAATATAAAATTGCCTTGTCTCCATAGTTAATCTATAAAAAATGATTGGTCAAAGTACATTGCTATTGATTCAAACTTTTCCTGGGCTCCGATTTAATCAAATTTAGAAAACTACTTTTTTCATTAGCTTGAGAATACAAATTTCGTCAGACCCGTTTAAAACAAATCGATTAACACAAATGATAAAGAAATACGAGATATAAGTAATAATGAGGTATTTCTAAGAATAAAACCCATGAAATCTGCCGTATTCGCAATTGTATTCCAGCCCTATTCCGTATAGTGTCGTATTTCAGCTATGGTATTAACAATTGTAACATCCCGTCTTATGGCACAAGCAATTTTAAAATCAGATTTTAAAAAATATTGGAGAGCACACTGCGTCAGATGACTCAAAAGTGAGAGATTAGTTTCATCAAATATTCGAGAGTTCGTTAAGAGTCACGTGATTTCGTGAAGCAATGATAATCAAAGATAACGAAATACAACCCATAAATAGTTAAACTGTTAGGGAAAAAATAATACTTTTAATTCTGAAAAAGTAACTGAAAACCGTGATCTCAATTGATGTACAGTAAGAAAAGAAAAAAAACACATCCGTATTAACTTTTGATCTAATGATTGGATCTTCACGTTATAAGACTCAAACTTGATGGTTCAAGGGGATGACCTCAAATATGCAAATTAATTAGTGCTGACGATGTTTTAAGTTACGAAATAGGACATAAAAACATACTTTCTCTTCGTCTTCTTCTTCTTCCTCAGAAACCTTCTTTTCAGATTTATAACCTCCAAAATATAGGAGATAGCTGCAGTCTGAGAAATATGGTCCCCACAGTTTGATCAGGGGAGCGATTCAAAGTTTGAACCCCGTAATGTTAATTTTACTTTTTTTGTGTATTTCATCATGTCACGAGAAATGTTCAATTAAATTGTAAAATTTTTGCACACAATTACAAAATTCGTTTACCCAAAGGTGCAAAAAATAATTTTTAGCAAATATTTATTTATTTTATTCAGTAATAGGCGAAAAAATTTTTGTAAGGTATACAATTTCTTACATCATTTTAAAGTGTATAATTTTACATGGTAAAATACAAAATTTGAGCAAAATCGGTCATCCTGAGAAATCAAATTTTAAATATACGACTTTTTTAAAATTCTATTTTTAAGGAGCTATTCAACCGATTTCACTCAAATTTCGTATTTTGCCATGCGAAATTTCATACTTTAAAATTAATGTAAGAAATTGCATACCTTACAATTTAAAATTCCTTCGGTTTTAAGTGCAAAAAATTCTCAAATCGCTTAAAAAGATTTGGTAAAATACGCAAAAGGTGAAGTTCACATTAAGGGATCCAAACTTTGAACCCCTCTCCTGGCCAAATTATTGTGACCATATTTTCCAGAATGCGGCTAACCCCTATATTTGGGGGGTCAGAATGCCGAATTCGTGGGGGAGAAAGGTACGTTTACGCAGATAAAGTACGTTTTTGTGTCTGATTTTGTAACTAAAAATATTGTCTCCGCTAATTAATTAGTATATTTGAGGTCACTTTCTCGAACCATTAAGTTTGAGTCTTAGAACGTGAAGATCTGATCGTTAGATCAAAAGTTATTCAGAGTGGTCAGTTTTATATTTTGCACACAGTATGTCTTTTACTTAAAAAGCATGGCAGTAGAATTGATTGGAATATAATGCAGAATAATAGAAATTTTAAGATGAAGAGTAATATGTAACCGTGGACAATCAGGTGCTAGTTTTGTTATAATTTTTTAAACTATTCTTTAATAATCAACGCTTTTTTTTAAAGAAATCATTATCTCTATAAATTTACTTTTAAGAGAGTTTAATAATGCTTCGTTACATTTCTACTCACTATAAACCATTTCCTCTCTCTAACAATTCATTATTAACTCCATTTCATTTTTAACTCCATTTCATTATTATATCCATTTCAATTTACTAACAAATATTTAAGAAATTTTATTTATTTCTTATTAAACTATTAAGTGTGGTGGTTCTTAAAATTTTTTATGTGCACGTCCCTTTCAACACAGCCATGATTTCTGTATACTATAACATTATTATCATCATCTGCCTTTAATCTTGATGTAAAAAGAGATTATGGTCATTCTTTTTCTCCTAAGTTATCTTGAGATCATAATTAAAACATTAACATGAAATATTTAGTGTTATGATCATAAATAATTTTTGTCGTTTCATACAGCAAAGTTTTCTTAATTTTTCTATAAAAGAATTTGCGTATTAAATAATAATCCTTAAAAAAGACTGGTTAAAAAACTAGTAATAAAAAATTATTTTTTGATATCTTTACAGACCTGAGAAAAAAGTTATCGTTATTAAGAATGATCAAGAACATCATCATCATCACCATCATCATCATGGTCATGAACACAACCATGGGCATCATCACGGCCATGAACACAAGCATGGACATGAGCATAAGCATGGTCATGCTCACCATCATAAGCATGGTCATGATCATAAGCATGGTCATGAACATAAGCATGGACATGACCATCACCATGGTCACGAACATAAGCATGGACATGACCATCATCATGGTCATGAACATAAGCATGGACATGATCACCATCATGGTCATGAACATAAACATGGTCATCATCATGGGCACGAACACAAACATGGGCATCATCATGGGCATCATCACGGTCATGATCATAAGCATGGTCACGATCATCACCACAAACATGGTCACGAACACAAACATGGTCACGAACATAAGCATGTCAATCATCATGGTCATCATCATGGTCATCACCATGGACATCATCATGGACACCATCATGGACACCACCATGGACATCATCATGGTCACGATCATAAGCATGGTCATCATCATGCACATCATCACGGTCATCACCACGGGCATCATCATGGACACCATCACGGTCACGATCATGGACATCACCACGGTCATCATCATGGGCATCATCACGGTCATCATCATGGTCACGATCATAAGCATGGTCATCACCACGGACACGATCATAAGCATGGTCATCACCACGGACACGATCACAAACACGGACATCATCACGGACATGGTCATAAGCATGGTCATCATCACGGGCATGATCATAAGCATGGCCATGATCATAAAGGTGAACACAAACATCATCATGGTCATGAAAACAGTCATAAGCATCACCACGGACATCATCACGGTCATCACGGCCATCATGGCCATTCTCTTGACTTGGATGGACATTATAGCAATCAAAAACCTCAAGTCCATAACCTTTTTGGTTTTCAGTATAACCATGTATAAGCCTTGCAAAATTGTACTCACAATGATACGTCTGAATTGGTGCTCAATGTATATAAAAAAAAGTTGTTTATAGAAATTAGTCTAAATATTTCCGCATGTAACAAATTTGTGTGAATAAATTTCGCTATTATGCTTTACTTCATAAACACTTTTTTATGTAAATAGCTTCATAAGGATCCAATTCATAATTCCTCATTTGTATACAAAAAATACAAATTATTTACAAATGATAATTGCATTTGAACCGCTATACTTTCATTCCGACTTAATTACGCTTTAGAAAACTGAAAACAATATTTAAAAATCAAATGAATTTTTCGCATTACTCATTGAACAACACGATTCAACATTCTCCCATTTACATAGAAAGATTAGAGTTAAGTGTTAAATACTTCAGCAAGCACAAACCAAATGCTTTTTTCTTATCAATGATTAAATGAAGCGTACTGTAATATTTTTATTATATGAAAAACGTATTATCACAATTTTGTAACAGGGCATTTTTTTTCCCGTTTTGGCAACGGAAAGCTGAAACAAACTGAGCTATAAATTGAGCAGAGTTTTTCAAAATTTCTATACGTGGTTTTACTTCGGTTACGCAAAATTATTATACATACATTTAAAAAAAAAAAAATTCTAAAATTAACATAATACTTTATATTTCATCAAGTTTAAATTAACATGTGTTTATACGAAGACCAAACAGTTGGCTATTCAAACAATTTCATTGTGGCAAAATTTTAGATATAAACGAGTAAAATTGCTTTCTATAATAAATCGAAAACTTCTTCTTACCAAATTAAAATGAAAGATAAATAAACAGCATGCACTTATTCGTACACATTGTATACTTATTCGTACACATTCGTACACATTGTATTCGTAGTACATTGTAGAAAAAAATAATCCTAAATGACTTTTTTTCTAATTGTCGGATTTTCATGCATTAATTTAACTTTTTTTTTATGAGTACTGAGTGTACTAATATTGATATTAAGATACTTCTGTATAAATGGAATTTTACGATCCACCGAAAGGGATGTGTAGAGGACAAAATTGTTGATAATGGTAATTTTTGACTATCGTGAGTTGATCGTGAACAGTAACATTATGGTGAATGATACTGAATATAATTATCTTTAAGTTGGAGGGGAGGACTTCTCAAATCATAATTTGCTTAATCTCATAACATAAAGCCACTGAGAAGGGGGCTTAAGTAAACGATAGGTATCTCTAAAAAATTGTTGATTATGGTAATTTTCGAGGGTTAACCTCAAGCAACAAAATTATGCTAAATGATACTGAGTAATCTCTATTTTGAATGGATGAACTTCCAAAAATGTTTTTCTTTATCTGATAACATAAAGACGCAGAAAAGGGCAACAAATAATATTAAAAAAATTGAGTTATTTTAGATTTTAGTTTAATTAATTGTGTCAAGTTTTTGTTTAATTAATTGTGTCGTAATTGTGGGTGGTTGGTGTCGTTATATGTTTCTCACTTTTATGCATGATTTCGTAGCGTTGATTAACACTGATTTATTGATCATTTATTCTTTTTTTTCACCCCATACGAAGAACAGGTATTCAGCTAGTTAGTAATAAATCAAATATTATGTGCTAGATATAAATTATATTAAAAAAAATTCGAAAAACTCCAAAAATTGATTAAAAAAAAACAGACAAGGATATTATTATAAAATTAAAATACTTTGAACGAACGAGAAAATTTAAAATTTTTGTCCACAACTATAAATGCGTTTATCTGAAGGCAATTATAATAAGAAATATATAAGAACATTATTTTTAACAATTATTCATGAATTTTTATTGTTTTATTTATTAATAAGCAAAAGAATTTCAATTTTAAGTTTCACTATAGTTAGTAGTTAGTCAAATTTTAAAAATTTAAAAAGCTTTAAACTATTAAATTTTAAGTAACAAAATCAAAAAATTGTTCGAAATCGACCGAATTTACGCTGAATTATGAAATTTCAAATTTATTATAGCTTTAAATTTTCAATCTCCAGAATAATTCGACTAATTTTGTTCAAATTTTGGGTTTTGTCATTTTAACTAATATAGTTTAAAATTATATTAATTTCTATACCTTTACGATTGAAATTTTATTAGACTATAATTAAATAAAGGAATAAAAATTAATAAATTATGAAAAATTATTTTTACATGATTTTTTGATGAACGGATTTCAAAATTGTGCGCAAATTTTTTTTCTATTCACTTAAAAATATAGTAAAAATTAAACTGATATAAAGGTGCCCAAACTTTCTTCCCCTCTCCTGACTGTATTTTTGGGGTTTCAAATTTTTTTTTTCAAATTTTATGTAATTTGGACACAAAAAAAAATTTAATTTTACGTCAAATTTCAACTTTACCTTCACATTTTATTAAAATCCAAGAATAATCTAAAATAATCTAAACAAAAAAATTAAATTCTTCTAAAGCTTAAATTATTTTCCGACAAGATGAAATTCGGAAATTTTAATAATGATCTGTGATGATATTTAATAAAAAAATTTTAATAATTATGTTCTAGCAAAAATTGAATGTAAAAACTGTTCAAATATTTATATTATATAATAATTGAGAAGAAATCAACTTTTCATTCGAAAATAAGTAGAGAAAATTAAATTCATATAGTCGTTAAATTATTTTCCATATAAAAATTTCATATGAAAAATATCAATATTTCTCTATGCACTGACAAGATGTTCCTTTCAGAAAAATCTAATATCAGACCTTATATATCCCAATGACTGTCAATTATTTAAACTTATTATTACTTATTAAACTAATCTAACTATTGAATTTTAACTTTGTTTCAATTACATAGTACTTGTTTGTAATCCTATCCAGCTATTAATCATACTTGATACTTTGTTGAGTTTTTCTCAGATTTTAAAGATTTTTAATTAAATAAAATAATAATAGATAATAAAAATTAATTTCTAAACATTTACAAATCCTTAATTAGAAATAGCAATGAAACTCACATTAAACTGTCCTATAAAAATAAGCATGACACATTTCCCTTAATTTTATAATTTAATTTATGGTTAATCTAATCTTTTTTTCAATGAATACACATTCAATCTTTCTTTTCAACGTGAATCCATTAGAGCGAAAATCAAGTTTTATAAGTATATCTTACTACAACTGCCTAAAACCTTTATAGTATAAATATATAACTGTTTCGACAGTTGTAGAAAGATGATATATTTATAGAATCCCATTCGACAACAGTTAAAGGCTTACTATTGTGTATTTTTCTTTATAAAATAGCTGTTGACTAACTACTAACTATAGATTAACCTTCTAAAGCTTAAAAATGAATTATAAACTTGGCAATAATTAACAGCTATTACTAGCTAAATTAGGATTTCCTTATTATTTTTTCGCGAAGCAAGAGGATGCATCTTTTTCCACAGGTTCTTTTATGGAACATTTATGACATGTAATGTTCCAGCAAAAAAAAAGAATAATATTTTTTATTAAAAAAAAAGTTTGTATATCTATAGAAGTTTTTGATACACACAACAAATAATTGCAACAATTTAAAAGAATCTCATACTTTCAGTCAAAACAAAGACATTTGGACACAATAAATCAATAGAACTTTCCTCAATATTTATATATAAATTACTTATAACCACAAATTATGAAGCTGGGGAAGAAAATCATGAGCTCTTCCTAAAAAATATACATTCAAAAGCGGTTGCTATAGCTTAGATAAAAATAATTTAGACGAAACCTCTTTTATATCGAAAAATGAATTATGGCGTTTACGTTAAAAGCAAGAAGGGGGAAAATATTGATGTTAGCCTATTTGGAACAGAAATTGCTTCAAACAAAATGATTTATATCCATCTAAAAACCAAATTATTTTTTTCTTAAGAAAATCTGTGAGAATCTTCGGAGAATTCACAGTATTATCACTATAAATATAGAAAATGCTATAAGCGTTCTTTACTTTAGTTGTAAGAGACGTTTGGTATATATTAAAATTATCCTCCTTTGTAATTTCTTTTAAGTTAAAGCATTTTGGATAAATTGAAATGAAGGTTAGTGGTTACTTTTTTTCTTTTTTTTCCATTATAAAGCTACATTATATAATCATGAATATCGTATAATCATTATGATTAATGTACTCAATATAATCATTATTAATATAATATAATCGTTATGATCAATATAATCATTATGATTAATGTACTTAAATATATGATCATTATGGTTATATAATTAAGTACAAGAGTTTAGAAACCCTGGATACTAATTCGCTATAAGGCTTAATTCATAGCAAACGTTTAATATTTTAACAAAATTTAATAGAAAAAGCAAAAATTTGCTACTTTGCTTTCCGTTTCATAACATGCTCTCTCCTTGAAATTGGATCTGATTATAGAAATTTTATCTTTTTATGGACCACTGACCACATTTATTGTATCTATCTTTAACAACCGTTTCCTAAATTAATGCAAAGGATTCCTAATATTAAGAGTACAACGAATTGTGCATCAGTATATTGGATTTCTTACTGCTTTCCTGAATCGCATATTCTTTTTAAGTCGATGCGCATTATTTTATTTGAATTCGACAAACTCACAAATCAAATAATTGTTCTTCAGTTTAAGAGCTAAATTAATTTATTCTATTTAAGTTATATCGTAAATACTGCTTTCATTGAATGCTATTATTATTAAAATTTAAATTTTTAAATCACTTATTAGTTTTAGTACAAAATCAATAATTTCAACTCTAGTACTACTTAAGAGATCAAGGAAGTAGTTCAATACTTAAAAATTTTGAAACAGTTTTAATTATTATTATATTAATTTATAATATATGATATTAATTTATATTATATTATATAAATTTATAATATATGATATTAATTTATATTATATTAATTTATATTATGCTAATTTATATTATATGATATTAATTTAAATTATATTATATTTATATGAGATTAATTTAAATTATGTTATATTCATATTACATTAATTTAAATAATTATATTAATTTGTACTCTAACTGCATTGGAAATGAAAATATTCTTATTCTTTTCTCAAGAGCTTTTTGTGTTGTTCCTTTACTTTAATACCTATTTCTTTTAGTGATTTTTTTTCTCTTAACTGTACATTTAAATGCTAACGAAGAAAAAAAAATATTTTCTCTAAACCTGTATTTTGATATAGATATTTCTTGTGTTATTTATATTTATTTAAGATTAGCTTTTAATTAAACATTTATTCCAAAAATTCTTATTGATAAAATTATGTTGATTTTATTGTATTTTGCAAAAATGTTTGCATGATTCCAAGCAAATATATATATATATATATTTACTTTAAAAATTTCCATGAAAGATATTATTTATGAAAATTGTACACATATTGTTAAATAGTTTCAAGTTTTAAAGTATAAGCAATGTTTAGAAAATGATACAAATTGAAACAACAATTTTAAACATTTTGGGTGTAATAATTTTGTTGCCTAAAGAAACCAATTAAAAAGGAAAGTCGGATATAGCTTCAAAAATCAAATATATATTTCATTTCATTAATTATCAGTTTTTTATTTCCATAGTTTTAATAGATGTTAAGGAGTTTATAAGGAAAATCTTAAATAAATGGCTTTTTGACAACTTTCCTATTTTTAAAATATGTTTCCTAAAATGAAATTAAACCTTTCTTTACTAATTAATAAACTATATTAAAAAATAAAAATAAAAAAGTTTTTTGTTAAAGATAAGAAAATTAATGAAATATAGGGGTGACAGACTGAAAATATTCTGCCTTGTAAACTTTATGGAAAGAAAAAAAAAGTTTTAAACAAAGATTTCTGACATAGGATTTCAATATATTAACTTTAGAGTTTTCAAGTCTGAAGTTTTTTAATTATGAGAAATTTCGCAGAAGTAAATCTCGTAAAAGAATTAAATAAATAGTTGTAAAATTTTAAGTTAAGCTCGAATTTTTTTCTGTGGCATATGCACTATAACCATATCGATGTAATTCAACTTGTTGATGATAACCCAAAACTTTTCTCTGAATTCTAATCAATGCAACTCTGAATTAAATATTTTACTCAATAAATGCAGTAAAGAGAAAATGAATGGTAAAAACATTTTCGCTTTTGCATAACAATAATGAAAAAAAAATAGTAATGCACAAAAACACAAAAACAGCACTCCATAAAATTCAGAATGATATGATTTTTCACTATATAATACAGTAACAACATTTTATTTTTTAAGTTACAATAATGAAAAATAGAAAATAATACACTATGTAAGAAATTCTAAAAGCAGCATTCAATAAAGTGCAAAGTGATTTAAAAGATCTCTATCTTAACTTCATGGAATATATACTTATTAAATCTGGATATTTATATTCAGTATGAACTCAAAGTAACCTAACGCACTTTTTGAATCAATAAAGCATGCGTCACTTATAAAAAAATCGACATATTTGTTTGCAAACGTAAAAATAAATAGGCATTAAGATCAGGTATTGTATATAATCATTAAAAATCCAACTTACATTTCTATGAAAATATAAAATAACCAGTAAAAAATAATATTTCAGCAATAAAAAATCTTAACTTAAAGAACGTAACAAGGCGTTAATAATGAAAACCATAAACAAAAAAATTAACAAATAGCCATAATTAATTATAATTGGAAAATAAATAAACCGTAGCCATTTCAGAATTTTCCTTATCCTATTATATCATTATCAATATTCATTATCAATATCAATTACTATATGTTTTTCTTTTCCCAGCCAAGAGAGAAGAAATTACACGAAAAATATTCCTTAGGAAGAAAACTAAAACTTTCTTCAAAATTGAACTATTTATTGGGCATATAGTAACATAAATAACTTGATAAAAGTAACAAGTTGATCTATCCTAATTTTTTAGATCCAATTATTTCTCAAAATAACTTATTTTTAACATTGTTTTTGTGTAAAAGATATTTTGAAGAGTTTAGAATAATTTTAAACAGAAAAGAACAAAATATGTACCCGAAATGAATATATATAGTTTGTCTACGGTAAGAACTCCCCCTACCAGAAAGTCAGGCACCGTCTGCTGCTGTGGAAACAAGAATAGTGCATTTCAGAGAGGATAGTTTCTTATCTTTAGCACTTTAGGGCTAACACAATAGACCGAAGAAAAAGATTTTCTTTCTATCGCCTACCCGAGCCAAAACCTATACTTAACAATGACCCCACACCCCTACTTGAAATAGTTATACCTCGTTACCATAGTCACCGCCATGGCTCCAGATGAATTGCTAGGGGAGTTCTTACTTTAGACAAACTATACCTTGTCGATCACTCCAAAGTCTAAAAGGTTTTGTTATGTTTCGGTAAATTTTGGCTCTCGACACATCAGAGAATGTTACACATAATATGTCGTAGCTCTCTAACGAATTTAAATGGAAGTAACTCTAGGTTTTAGTGCTTTAAGCAATGAACGTAAACTTCCGTGACTAACGGCACATGCTGCTCTTCATTGTTTTGATGTATAAGTATTTTCTTAATAAAGATTGCCTAAACGACTTCGAATTTAAAGTCACCTTTTAAAAGTTGTTTTAGTAACTTTTTAAAAAAAATTCTTGAAAATAAAAATCGGATATAAAATAGATGTCAGAAGAAAACCTCCTAAATATGGAATAAGAATACTCTGAGAAGTAGGTCTTTATTTTTAAATTTTTTATTTATTTCGTAATAATTTATTTTAAATTTATAAGAATTATAAGGAACACACTTTTTTTCGAGGTTTTTAGGAGATGGAAATGATTTCCCTTTAGTTCTATTTATCTTTTATCGTTTATTTTTATCTTTTTCCTGCTATTTTGTAGATTGCTTGGAATCTTGGTGTTAGTTGGTCTACGACTTTTATTCTAGTATATCTTGCACAAAGAATGAGCAGGATTGCTTGCTTCCCACCATATCATCCTCACTTTTATACCCAGACAATCAGCGGAATAAGTTCTGGACCATCTCGCCCAAAGGCGTTTCGACCCAATTTGCTACCAATGCCAGTGTAAGTTTTTACAGATATTTATAACCATTTTCAGCAACGAACCAGAAGAAATTCGTGCTTAACATTCATTATTGCAAATAATCAATTTGATTCACAATCCAGTCATTCACTGCATAAATAGATTAATCCCACTTTTTTTAAATCTCTTGAGTATCAAAATACTGGTTTCTATTATTACTTTTTATATTTACTAGAAGGCTCAACCTTCAGCTCGAGCAGCCATCCAACCCCATGCTTGTTTCTCATTAATCATTGTTTTTTTAAGTCAATATTTTTAAAAAAAAACAATGATTATTTTGTTAATAGAATATATATATAATTATTATAATTTGATGCAACCACATTTTCTATCGTAATCAAAGGAATGATTGCCTGCATTTGAAAAGTAATCAACTGTACTTGAAAAAAAAAAATTAAACTTAAAAAAAAATGTGTGATGTAATAAAAGGAAATTAAAGTAATTTTACTAGTTTGTGATATATAACAAAAATCTTATGTCATTATATTAACTTAAACGGGAAGCGAATTTTAACTCTCTTGAATTAAGTTATATTTTTTAAAAATTTCAATAAAAGTGTTACGATGATATACTTGGCAACATCTAACTTTTCCCTCTATCTCTTTTATTTATTTATTTTTCGTTATATTCTACATTAACTCAAGCATGTAGAATAAAAATTTCGAAAGTGATAAATAAAACTTTCTACAACAATGGATAAAGCGGGAAAAATTCTTGACAAAAGTACTTAAAATTGATATAATTTTCGAAAAACTTGGAATTTATGAAAACTTTGTTTTAAGTTCGTAAACAAAAATGAGCCTTTTTGCACTGTAGTTTCATTTCCACGGCCTGTAGAGTGGCTCAAATGATATTTTTTACTGCTTGTTCTACAGTTAATAATTCTTGAACTACATATCGAATGTTTTTTTTCATCGTACTTCCTGTGCATTTTTTTATGCACCATTGTGCTTTCAAATTTTTAGGACTTTTAATTTTTACGTAACGGAACAGAAATACAATGTAAAGTTGAACGCTCAAATTACGTAACGATTATTTAACATAGGAAAAGCACGATTATTTAATATAGGAAAATCAATAAATACATGATAAATTTTCCAAATAATGAAAATTAATATTTTTAAATGACAAAATTGCAATTAAAAATTTATACTATAAAGAAAATTTTTAAAAATAATGCACATTATTTCATTTTTCCATTTTTTGCTAATCACTTCGTATTTGAACAACTCAGTTGTTGAGCTTAGTCAATAAAAATGTTAATGAAATTTATAAAAAAGCGATCCCATTATTCTGTGTTCTTTTTAAGAATATGTCTTAATTATTTTGCCAAGTCAATAAAGTTTGGAGATCTCAGGGGATAATTACTTGACAGCCTTAATTGTTTTTTAATACTCATTCGTTTCAGAGGTACGGAGTAAATCGTCAAACTATTACTGACGCCAATTATGCTTAATTAATTTTGATAATAGGTTTTACTGGTTGTGATAGTAGATAATAAGTGGTGTGGTAATGGGTACCAAAAATACAATTATAAGGGCAGTAGTAATAGATTTTTTCCGACCTCTGAAGCAGATAAATATCGTATTTTCTGTTTGGTGAAAGGCTTTCAATGTTTTTAGTAAACACCTCTCACTATATCATAACTATATACTACTATTATAAATCTTCATTTCCTTATGAATTCTGAATATGTATTAATGAAAAGCTGATTTTTTTAAAAGAAATTTTCGTTTACGCATGAAATAAAAGTTAAAAATAACGCAAAATTACACTTTTTCATTTACCTTAAGCATTCAAACTATTTTTAAACTCACACAAATTGATAAACCTAAGTTTTGTCAAAATTAGCACAGTTTTTGTTAACTTACTAATGTTACAAAATTTTGAATTTGATTATTCTTTCTCAATTTAATTCAATGCAGACATACAATCGGCCCAAAAACATAGAAGTTTCTGAATAACTGATATTTTCAATCTGAAGAATAACATTTAAAACTTGAATGTCCATTCATAGCTCATTAACCATTAACATTAGTTAGTTACGAAATAAGACTTTGCCAAAATAGAAATTTGTCTCACAAGCTAAGAAATGGTGCAATTTATAGCCCATTCCATGTAATGAGAATAGATATGCGAACAATTCAAAAGCGCCTGTATTTCCTTACAGGCAACTAAACCATTCCGTCACTGCTTGCATTGCTCCTTTTTTAAAATAAAAATTGAGCTATGACTTTTCTAGAGCTGTTCTCTTTATTGCAGGTTCCCAGAAAAGACAGAAGTCATTGTGATAAATGATCACCCGGGACAATATCATCACCACCACCTCCACCATCATGTCCACAATCACGGCCATCGTCCGAACTCCGCACCAAATTTTAGACCGAATCACAGGCATACTCATATTCACAAGCCAGCCATCGATCTCAAGAAAAATCACAATCATATATTCTCTCATTCCTATAAGCCTTGGCCAACACCCAGGCATAACCCAACTGTAGTTTATCATCATCCTCAAGACCATTCCAATGAGCATGAGCATACCCATGTTCATTATGATTATTCACACAATGGCATTGGTGATTGGGAGCACCATGCGTCGAACATTCACAATTTCAGAGTGGATAAAAATAATATCCTCAACAAAGAAGGGAGTACGAACTTTAAACATATGGCGGTATTTAACAGAAATTCCGACTACAACACTCTAACAACAACCAGTCCAGATTATGAAAGTTACAGTTTAAGAAGCAGAGGACTTCCAAATAACAGCAGAAATCGCAATAAAGAACTTTATTTTCATAACAGTTTCAAACCAAGCTTAATTCGACCTACTGAAGCAAGCACTGTTACTTGGACGCCAAAAGATTTTGCGTTAATGCCGGGGAATTTCACTGTTGGAAGTTTGCTCTTTTAACATGTTGAACAATGTAAGAAATGTAAAGTACTACACTGTGATGTTGATTTTTGTTTTTGAATTTCAATACATAATTTTCAAAAGGTTGAAAACGTTTTTCTTTACAATTCAACAAATAATAAAAATTTATATAATTTTTCAAACTTTTTATAATTTTTTATTAATTTTGTTGACATCTTTACTAAACAAGAAGAAAATGTTAGTTCATTACAAGACCAATCAATTTCCAAATCACTCATCATCATTATAGTTGGTCAGACAGTCCAATGTGAGCCGATACCTTCCTCTGAAGATTTCTCTATGACGACTTCCGATTTATCTTCGATCTCCACTTCTTCTCATTAATTGCGAGATCACAACTATCACAACTATAAAACAATATTCTGCTTGCGATTTTTAAGTTCTAGGACTCCATCTTAATGGTTCGAGAGGGTGACTTCAAATGTGGTAATTAATTAGAGCAGACGATATTGTACGTTACGAAATCAGACACGAAAACGTACTTTGAATAAAATTCCTTTATTTCGGTGAATTCGGATTTTAAACCCCCAAAATATAAGGGGTAGCTGCAATCTGGAAAATATGTCCCAATAGTTTTATTAGGAGAGCTGTCCAAAGTTTAAATTTTTGTTAATTTTCCTTTTAGCCATATCTTGAGAAATAGTAAACGAATTCAAAAGCTTTTGCACAGTTATAAAATTCGTTTATTCAAAGATTATTCCATGAAGAGAAAAACTTTTAGTAAATATATATTTTTTTTGTTACTTTACTTAAGAATAGTCGAAAAAATTTTGAATTCTGCGATATACTGAACAGTAAGATATACGAATTTTTCGTATTATTTTAAAGAACAATTTAAGAAAGAATTTACGTGACAAAATACAAAATTTGAGCGAAATCGGTCAAATAGTTTCTGAGAAATCGAATTTTAAATATACGACTTTTTTAAAATTTCATTCAGTTCATCCTTCCGAAACTTATTTATTGAGTCCTAGAACAAATCAGTAAAGTTTTTGAAAAGAAATTCAAAACAATTTAGTCAGATCATTAGATCATAAGTTATGCAGGGTGGTTCGTTTATTTTTGCACACTGTACATTAATGCAAAATGTTCGAAAATCAAATAAGAAGGCAGCTTTATAATTTTATATAAAATTTTGACTCGAAATATAAAGTTTCATAATCTCAAACAATGTCTGAAAATCTAAAAAAGTAATTGTACAATATAATTACTAAAATATTTGCAAATCATAAATTTTTAAATTAAAAAATAAATGTAGTATTTTTCTTCTGGGTATTTCAGAAACATTTTATGCAAAAAAATATATAATGAAACTAGTTTTTTAACAACAACACTCTGTTACAATTACGATCTTAACAAAAATTTATATTTTTCAAAAACTTATTCAACCTTATAATGACTGCTTTCATTTTCTTTTTTTTATTCCTAGAACATTTATTTATTCTTCTTTTTTATACAAAAATCACTTCTTCTTTAAAATATTGTTTGACATAAAATGAGTTGACAATTATTTGCCATCAGGTGCACGCATTTCCGTTAAAACCAAATTATATTTTTCTTCTTCTACTTGCTCTATTTTTTTTTTTTAACTTTTTTTNTTTTTTTTTTTTTTTTTTTTTTTTTTTTTTTTTTTTTTTTTTTTTTTTTTTTTTTTTTCTGTTAAGTTTTAGAAGACTACATCAACTAAAGATTTAAATAATCATCCAAATCCAGTTTGTTTGTTTCTCATCTTAAACATTTGGTAAAAAAAGAGTTGATGAAAATATTAAATTTATGCGTTTATATACTCTACAAATATATTTGTTTTTCTAGCAGAAAGGAAGGTGTTTGTTCGATGAGAATTACATAAATAAAAATGATAAATATGTAAAATTATAAATAAATAAAATTGTAAATAAATAAAATTATAAATAAATAAAAAATAAAATAAAAGATGAGAAAAACTACCATGCATCCAGTGAGATGGCATCGGAATGTTACTAAAAATAAGTGAGAATGTGCATAACTATAATTTAGTCGATTGTCCAAACAAAACGTCAATATTTGGCCAATCAAAAAAGCATCTTATTTCACAACATGTTGTTCAACAGGCAAAGCTAAACATACACACATGGATTTCTATTTTTGTGAAATAGTGTTTATTGAAATATGTTATATTGTGAATAGTGTTATTTTGTGAAATAGTGTTAGTGTGAGTAGTGTTATAGAATGGATTCCTTAGTGTTTCTAAACACTTTACTGCCAATTTAAACCTTTATGTTCCCTTGTGACTGAATTTTCTTTGAGAAGTGCGCGTACTCACTCTTAAGAAGTATTTCTACAAAAAAACTTTTAGAAATTGATTTTTTTTTTCTATTTTTGCATAATCTAAAAATATTACAAATAAATTATCATCCATATCCAAGAGGTCGTGGGTTCGATCCTCGCCGGCCGAAGACTCCCCATGTTGTAAATGGTGACTGATGCACGTTAAATCTGTCGAGTCTCAAAGTCCTCCATGTTCCCACAACAAATCAATACCTCTGGGGGTACTGATCCAGGAGTTTCCTTGTCTTCTGGTTTGGCTCAAAATTACAAGGCAACGGAGTTGAACGTAAGTAGTCGTAAACCCATGAAATTGGGTCGGCTGTTCAACGACGGTTATAAAATAAAATAAATTATCATACATATCTTACGAATCAAACACTTTAAGTATAGACTTTCAGTGTTAACTCACGCAATTTTAGGTCAAAATATTTCGAAACCATATTTCAAAGCCAGCTGGAATGTTCTTTTTACGAAACAAAAATGGCAAAATCAAGTTGTTGTCAATCATAGTTGTGAATACATTCAATTTTCGTTTCACCCATTCTCAAGTCAAGCAGTCAGATTTAAAAATTAGTTCTAAATAAGTTTTTAAAAAATTAGAACCAAAAACTAATGGTATTACTGTTATTATTATTTTATTTTATTTATTATTTTATTTTATTTATTTTTTTATTTCATTTCATTTTATTTTATTGTAAAATCAGAATCAGATCTTTTGCAAGGAATATACACTTTTACTCTGCATATGGCCTTTATTCCCTATTAATCAGACCCTGATAGAAAACTATTTGCAGTAAAAATTATAATACACCGAAAAGCCATTACATTATGACCACCCTCCATCTATAACAATGGGCTCGCCCAGGTTTTCATGGTTTCTCGCCCAGGAACAATGTTTGGGGCACATTAGGACCCAAAATCCTCATAGAACAATCCCTGACGTCTGTAAGCTACTTGAACATAGTTGCAGACCAGGTTCACCCATTCATGGCAACAGTTTTTCCTGCAGGGGATGGTGTTTACCAACAGGATAATGCACCAGGTCATAAGGGTCGAATCGTTGAGTAACATTCCACTGACTTTCAAGTCATGTCTTAGTCCCCAAATTCACCTGACCTTAATCAAATAGAGCAACAATTCAGCTTGAGACATATTTCATGTTTCTACAGACTATATTGAAATAAGAAAGTTTATCTATTCAACAGGACTACAAAAACTATGGATGATATTTAATTTGCCTCTCGTAATTTAGATATGAATAAATGATTTTGTTAAGATTCTCTGCAACACAAAATTCTAGAAAATGGTTAACCCTTTGACACAGAATTTTTATTGATTACATTTTTCATAATTTTGTATTAATTCAGGTCAAAATAAGTAAACAATATTGTGCTTAGCATTTAAATAATTTATGGTTGCGAAATACAGCATGAAACATTGGTGTCTTTTTCTGCGTTAAAGGTAAATTATTCACAACACGGCTGACCACCTAACAACAGTTCTTGAAATTTGCACTTATTAGAAGCTATTTATATTTAAAAGAAACAATTATTCGTCATTGGAATTTCTTTACATTTCAAAATCAATCATCGACAAATTTTCGAAAATGAATGAACTACTTTTCAAAGTACTTTTTTGTATTTTATATTTTAGTACAAATATAATACCGATTATCTAACAGATTTCTTTAGTATTTGTTAAACTGTTTTTTATAGTTAAAAAACTATTTAAACCATTATTAACACTTTATTAAACAAAATATATTTTTGCTTGAAATTAGAATGTCAAAAAAAAAAACTATTTACAAGGGACACCGGTGTCACATCTGCGTCAAACGTCTAAAGGTTTCACTAGAAAAATTATTTTTACAGCAATATTTTAAAAATGCCATACCTTTATTTCAATTAAGTTGCAAATAATAATAAGTGTTTTCACTTTCACGGCATGAAAATTACCATAACTTCAATACATAATAGCTTTTTCTGTTTACATAAAAACGATTTTATTTATGTAGCAGTATTTGGAGCATTCAAAACATTACAAAAGAGGAAATCGTGCATTACCTGGGAAGAAAATAACGCAATTTACTCACATTCAGTGAGTGATGGTCATTAAAACGCGAAAAGTTAATGTTTGGCTAAATTTCTTTTTTCATTCTTTCATTTCCTAATTCCGAAGGCATCAATTCTTAATGCGGGTATTTACTCTCATTTTTATTGCTGTAACTTTTAACCGTGATAATTCTTACATTCAGTGGAGGTTTTTCCATTAAAAACAGAGTTATTAACTGTGCCATAGAACTGGAGTACGACACGGGTTATTCAAAATTATATTAATTTCTAAATGGATAAATAGATTTACGAAAAAAAATCAAGCAATAACAAGGCTTACAATTAAGACTTACAACAATGAAAATAAAATCCAATAAATAAAGAAACACATATTTTAACTAAAGCTAATAAAACTCTTAATTATCATCACGGCATTAAAGAAATATCAGGCTAAGACTAATTTTTAAACTGTAATTTGCTTACATTTTAGTTAGCTGAATACCCGTTCTTAGTATTATACGGATTGTAAAAAAGTAAACAATCAATATATTGTTACAGAACAGCACTACGAAATCATGCACAAAATTGACAGACATATATCAACACAGTGAATAAAGCTAAAACGATTGCATTTTTTATTTATTATATTCTATCCGTCTCGGTTGCTTTACATTATTATATTTTATTTTATTTTATAACCGTCGTTGAACAGTCGACCCAATTTTTGGGGTTACGACTAGTAATGTTCAACTCCGTAGCCTTGTAATTTTGAACCCAATCCAGAAAACGAGGGAATTCCTGGATCAAGTATTGGGAGAAATTTGCCTTCGTGGAGGACTTGATGGAACAAACCCGCATTTGCGTTGCATGGACAGGAAGACCACAAGAACCTCCCACGGTTTGCCTAACGGCAAAGGGGACTCTAACCCATGATCTGTCTACCACTGAGGATATTTCACGTCAACACTGTGGTCGGTGCAAGCCAGATGCGGAATTCGTATCAACTAGCTATAGCCGGGATTCGAACCCGGTTCACCTCATTGGAAGGCGAACGCTCTATCCCCTGAGCCATCGCGGCTCACGTTGTTATATTTTATTATATTCTATATCCGTCGTTGAACAGTCGACCCAATTTTGTGTTTACGACTACTAATGTTCAACTCCGTAATCTTGTAATTTTGAACCAATCCCGAAGACAAGGAAACTCCTGGATCAGTACCCCCAGAGGTATCGATTTGTTATGGGTACATGGAGGACTTTGAGACTCGACAGATTTAACGTGCATCAGCCACCATTTACAACACGGGGAGTCTTCAGCCGGTGGATATCGAACCCACGAACTCTTGGACATGAACCCAGCGCCTACCGACCAGGCTATCCCGGCCCTACGTTATTAAATTAAGCAAAACACGTTTTTAGTAGTTCCTCCCACTAGAATAAAGGACAACTGTATTGAATATCACTTAGCATTAGTTGTTGATGCCAACTGATGATGTCAAAATTCATCTCAATCAGGCGATTTTCTCCGGTACGTATTCCTTTAAAGGGGCCATAAAAAAAACCTCTTTCCACAGTATCTATAAAGCTTTCAAGTATTGATACAATTTTAATATGTGTCAAATATGCTAACATGATACTGTGTTCCTGTATTAGTACATTTCGTACCTTCTAAAACTGAATTAATTACCTTAATACCAGCAGTGCTTATTATCAAAATTAACTAAGCAGCATTGGCGTCAGTGAAATAGCGATTTTATACGATAATAATGAATGACAATTATAATATTTGTTGAATTTTTACGTTTCTCCAAAACTCACTGTCAGGTTTAGAGGTCTATAAAGAACAGATAGACATCAGGCAGGCAGGCATCCATTTTTACATATATAGATAAAAGAAAGTGTTATCAAGACAAAAGCATGACTGACCTACAAAAATAAGTAAAGGGCTTATAAGTTTCGACGAAAGCAAATGTAACATGATCTAACAGCGTGCAAGTTCAAAAGCTAGGGAACAAACACATTTTCGCAGAGATCTCAAGAATAGTGAACCAAATTAAGTGAAATTTTGTATGAAAATGCCGTAAAGTATGATAAAAGCGATAGTTACAAAAAGGTAACGGAAGGAACTCAAGACTATAGTTAAAATAAGGAGGTTAAAATTCCACCCTACTTTCTAAATTTCAGAACTCAAACACAAATAGTTCTGGAGTTATAATTGAGACACGCGCAGCAAACTCTTTCTTTTATTATAATACATAAAAATCCAACCAAAATTATCTATACTTAATATCCAGATGCTATCTTCCCAACTGTAAGAATTTAAAAGACGTCAATCATTAAGTGCTACAAATTCTTTAACATCAGTATTTAATACCCAGGGGATGTCTCTTCTGGGCATAAAAAGTAAAAAGACATCAATCATTAAGTGCTACAAATTTTTTAACATCAATATTTAATACCCAGGGGGTGTCTCATCTGGGCATAAAAAATAAAAAGACATCAATCATTAAGTGCTACAATTTTTTTAACATCAATATTTAATACCCAGGGGATGTCTCCCTGGGCATAAAAAATAAAAACGTCAGTCATTAAGTGCTACAAATTTTTTAACATCAATATTTAATACCCAGGGGATGTCTCCCTGGGAATAAAAAGTAAAAACACATCAATAATTAAGTGCTACAAATTTTTTAACATCGATATTTAATACTCAGGGAATGTCTCCCTGGGCATAAAAAGTAAAAACGTCAGTCATTAAGTGCTACAAATTTTTTAACATCAATATTTAATACCCAGGGGATGTCTCCCTGGGCATAAAAAGTAAAAAGACATCAATCATTAAGTACTACAAATTTTTTAACATCAGTATTTAATACCCAGGGGATGTCTCCCTGGGCATAAAAAGTAGAAAGACATCAATCATTAAGTACTAAAAATTTTTTAACATCGATATTTAATACCCAGGGGATGTCTCCCTGGGCATAAAAAGTAAAAAGATATCAATCATCATGTGCTACAAATTTTTAACAGCAATATTTAATAACCAGATGGTACCTGAATATAAAATTTTAAAAGACGTCAAATAATAAATGCTACAAACATAGTATACAGCATCAAAGAATTACTTCTATATTTTACGCCATTCTGCCATTTTTTGTATGCCACTTTCAATTCATTAGAATAAAAATGCGCCACTCTTTGTTTTCTAATTATTTTTATTTAATTAACTTTTTAATGAAATCATGTCAAATTAGGTGTTAAAGGTGGTAATTATGTTTTTTGCAAAAGGACTCTAACGATTAACGCCGGAAGTCACAACTTTCTTTTTCTACATAGAAATTCACTGGAGCGAAAAAATTAATGATTCATATATAAATGCCAGTGGCTAATCTTTAACCATTTGGTTGCCACCCATCCATGTAAACAGCTTCCTAACCGTGGTAAGTTCTACAACCTAAGATATTAAATTAAAAATTAAATTGAATCGACAAAAATTGAATTAAATTGAAAAAAAAATATGGCATTTAATATTTGCAATTTCATAACGTGAGAAATTATTTCAAAAATGAAATAAAATGGGCATATTTTGATTTGCAAATATGATGGAAGGTCTCATGTTCCTTTTTTTCACAGAAACTTTTAAATACAAAAACTATTTACGCAATTTTCCGTAAATAAATGTAGGCAATATAAATATCAATACCAATTATAAAAGATTTTTATTGATACATTTTTAAGAATAACCATAAATTCACTTGCTATTTATGTAAATTTTTTAACAGATTGCTTCCCTTATCATTTAATGTTTTGAATTTTTTTAAATTCAGCAAAACCCTCAATGTATAGATTCTTTTCCTGGAATACAATAATTATAGTTTTTAATGTAATCGAATTTTTTCCAATGCAACAAAACTAAAGTGTATATTTAATTCTGAAATTCAGTGCTTAATCGGTAACAGTACATTCTTAAAAAATTTTATTCAATATAAACTTAATTGAGGAATAGGAAATTTCGAAGCTGAGAAAAATAAAGAACATTTTGTGAAGGAATAGAAAATTTTGCTTAAAGACAAACGTTTTGTAACTAAATTTTCTAATTATAAACAAAAATTCAGGCTTCTAAACATCCGAAACTATTATTAAGATTAATTTTTTGCTGCGAAAATAATAAGTTCCAACGATGCAATGTTAATCTTACTTTTAGCCATTTTCTTTTGTTACTAACTTATCTGGCTGTCAAACTAACTTAAATCTATCTCTGATTTATTTTTATAACAATAAGAAAATTATTAATTTTTAACAGGTATGTTTGTAACTTTATTACTTAAAAACGTTTTTATTTTTCAAAATAAAAGTGAAATATTGTTTTGAATACAGTTTTTGAATACAGTTTACAGTTTAAACTTAATATTATGTAACACATCTTCCCATAAATAGAATCGTTTCGAACTGATTCCAATTCTATTTCGGAAAAATTAGTAAAAATTAATTAGCAGTTGTTTATTAACTTTTAATTTTGATAAATAAACATCAGATCACTTTAAATTACATATTTCTTTCTTCTTTAATTATTTTTTATGCATCGCTAAGCAAAAAATATCTTCTATCCACTTCAAATGATATTTTTAAGTAAACCGAGTTATTGTGACTTAATAAATAAAAATAATAATAAATAAAAAATATATATAATAATAAATTAAATCCTTTAAATTCCTCACTCCAGTACCAACCATTGCATTTTGTTAGAATACAGCAATTACAGAAAATTATTAATCAAGCAATTTTAAACCAACATTATAATCGTGTTTATTATTGTGTAAAGATTATGTTTTACAGTATTTTTTCTCCTAATACTCATTAAAAACATATAACAAATTTGAATATAACCAATGAACTTTCACTACATATGCAAATCCTCTAAAATATGATGTTCAAATTCTAAAGCTTATATTTTCAAATTTCTTGTCTAAAATAATTTCAAGAGATTAATTTTTAAAAAATACTAGTACAATAACTAAAAATTAAAAAATAATGTCTAATTTCATAATTCAATGGCAGTTACAGTTTAAATGCGTGTTCAAATACACTCAAAAATTTGATCAACTCTTTTAACTAACGTATTTTACTCTTTTCATTAGCTTAATTAACTCTTTTAATCAACAATTATTTAATTTAATTAAAAATTTCATTAACTCATTTCATTCTGGAAGAATTATGATCTATATAAACAAACTAGAGTATTTAAATGTGTATGAGTATCTTATACAAATCCGCGATTCTGAACCGATCCCCACCAAATTTAGTGTATATACACATTCAAAGACTCAGCGAATCTACTTTATCATCAGTTCGCGTGCTACATCCCGAAGAAAGAATTTTTCACCTGATTAGATAAATATTTCATAATACAATGAGTGATTAGCTTGCAGCTCTAATCAATCAAAAAAATTTGTTATCTCATACTCATATGAATTATTTATCTAACATTTCCTATGTTAGGTTATAACAAGTGAAATCAACATTAATAATTTCGCATGGGATTGAATACTCCGAATTCGTATTTTAAAAAGCATACGAAACCACGTGTTTCTTACATTGATACTTACATTTTTAAAGCGTGTTTCTATAAACTTAATTAGCGGAAACTCAATAAGAACATTCTAATGAATCATCATTCTCACGAATCACACATTCTTATGAATTATTTATCTTAGGTTTCCAATGTTAGGTTAGAACAAGTAAAATCAGCGTTAATATTTTCTTTAAAATGATGCTAAAAAATAGCATACCGTACAATTCAAAATTTTTTCGATCATTAGTAAATGAAATTATAAGAAATAAGAAATATTTACTGAAAAGTATTGTTCGTATGGGAGTTACCTTATGATAAACGAATTACATAATTTCGTGCAAAAATTTTTCAATTCGCTATAAAAATTTTCGTGATGTAGTGAAATACGCATTAAGTAAAATTAGCATCAAGTGGTGCAAGCCTTGGACAGCTTTCCTGACCAAACTATTGGGACCATATTCCCCATATTGCTGCTACCCCTTATATTTTGGAGATCAGAAATCCAAATCCGTCAAAAAAAGACATGTTTATTCATAGAAAGTATGCTTTATGTCTGATTATTAATTAGCATATTTGAGGTCACCCCAGAGCCGGATTATACCTTTCGTAGGCCCTAGGCATAGCCGTTTTTGGGCCCTCTCCTCCTTCCCCCACTCCTCCCTTCTTTTCAAAATGTATGCTAAAATTTTCTCGCATATTTTTTTTTACAATTTTATTAATATGGATTTTAATTTACAAATTTGTTTATCGAACTTTATCTGCAATACCGACATACTGCCGATATTGCAGTTGATATCGATAATACCATTATGATTAGTTCGATCGATAACTATGTAAACACTTAAAAAAATTTGTGATATATTAACAGATTTTTGCAAAAGTGATATTGAAAAGGGAGATGCTAAACATGAGGGAAGAAAATTGATTATTCAATTAAGTAATTTTGAAACTGCGTTTATGACCGTAATTTGGGAGCATGCATTAAAACAAGTTAATATGATCACTTTAGCTCTCCAGGAACCAGGGATAGAATTGTGCACAGTAGTCAAATTGTACGATAGTTTATTGCAACATTTTCAAAACATGCACACCGAAAAATCGTTCGACGAATTAGAATCGAAAGCACAAGTTCTTTTGCCGAATACTGAATATAAAATAAAGAGAACACGAAAACGAAAGAGATTTTTCGACGAAACAGAAGAACAAGAAGTAATTTCAAACTCGAATCCAAGACAAATGTTTTTGTCAGGAACGTATTACGCCATTTTAGATGTATTAATTTCAGAAATGACTAAAAGGCGTAAAGCTTACAGTGATTTGTACGATAATTTCGGTTTTCTTGTTCACAAAAATTTGTCAGAATCTGAGATTAAACTAAAAGCGCAAAATTTGGTGAAAATTTACTCATCCGATTTAGAGGAAAACTTTGTAGATGAATTTTTACTATTTTCAAATTTGTATGAACATAAATCTGCACAAGAAATGTTGAAGGCTCAAATTAAAGATAAACTTGTGAATACTTTTCCTAACGTTCACATTGCATTAAGAATATATTTGTCGATTCTTGGATCAAATGCAGAAGGAGAAAGATCTTTCTCCAGATTAAAATTGATAAAAAATTATTTGCGTTCAACAATGAATCAAGATCGTTTGGCATCGCTCGCACTTATGTCTATTGAATACGACATTTTGCGTAGTTTGGAATTCGACAGCATAATACAAGATTTCGTTGAATCCAAAAATCGCAAAAAAGTAATATATTAGATCATAAGATTCTGCAAAATAATTTATTACCGAAAAATATTATATTTTTATTTGTATCTTCATAATTTTGTGCAAAATACACTTGTTGTTTTTAAAGCTAAATTATTTTTGTCAACAAATTTTTTTCTACCAAGTTTTTTGTAGGCCCCTGAATTTCGTAGGCCCTAGGCACGTGCCTAGTCAGTGGCGTAGCGAGGGGTGGGCAAAGGGGGGTTACAATAGTTTCCTTTCCTCTCCAAACAGAATTTATCACCATATTATCACCAGAGAGAATTTATAGTCAATTAATATTACAAAATATTTCTGATTTGTTGGATTGCTATAATTTTAACTGGAACTAAGTTCAGGGTGACAATAAAAATTTTAAGCACTTCATGACCATTGCAAGCAAAATTTATAATATAGCTTAGTATTGACAGAAGGAATTTATCGTCAAACAAAATTTCGATTAATGCCCAAATAGTGCTTACCTTTTAGCTACAGTTCTGTGCTGAATAACAATACAAGTTTCAATAAGTTTCTTGGCCATTCTAAGTTGAATTTATTTTCATTTTATATCTGTAAAAATCTTGATCATCCTTCCAAATTATGACACTTTTCCGACTAGTTAAAATGTTCAATTTTCAACTGGAAATCTGCCTGATAACAATACAAGTTACAATTGTTTCCTGAATACTTGTAAGTAAAATTTAAGGCCATTTTATCGCCAATTGAAATTTTGACCGCTTTTTATTGTAAAGAAACTATCACGCAAAACTAAAATTAAGAAAATAATCTGGCTATAGTAAAAACTAGTTACTGCCGTTACTGAAGACTTTTCAGAAACTTTTCCCCGAGCGTACACTCTCATAACTCAGAAACTATTACATAAAACACTACGCAATTTTGCACACTTTTTGAGAAATGTTTCAAAACCATTTGAGATCTAACTTATAGTGAAGGAGCCATTAGTTTTTTAATTATTTTATGCCAAAGTTAAAATATTTATGCTGTACGTAATTCAGTTTATCAAAAACTATTGGAAAGAAAAATATTATTATTAATACACAGGCGTACACAGATACATCAATATGACAATGTTAGTACGGGATGATAAATCTTTCGTTTTAGGTCCGAAAATAATTTTCTTTTCTTTTTAGTCTACTTGTAAAACGATAATTTTTTTAAATTTTATTTCATTTTTATCGATTTAATTCACACGTCAATTTCCAGATGAATGTTTGAGACTCACAAACTGAAAGGTAGATGCGTTTAGCGAAAGGTAGATGCGTACTGAGTTACTAACGTTTCAGAAACTGAAAGAGAAATATGTCTTCGTTTAAAGTCTGAAATTTTTTTTAAAATTCTTTTTAAACTAGTTGTAGTACGTTTTTATTTATTTATTTATTTTATTTCATTATTTCCTTCCTTCGCTTTTCGATTCCTAGATAAATACTTAAGACTCAAATACTGAAAAGCAGATTTATTTACTGTTTTAGAGGCTGTAAAAGATGTTAATTCAGCAGACCGTACTAATTTGCGTGGCGTTCTACTTAACTTTACAATTAGTGTGCGTTGATGCTCATCATGGTGGTGGCGGCGGTGGCCTGGGAATACTTCTGGCAGCAGGTTTGGTTGCAAGCTTACTCCGTGGTCACGGACACACGTCACATCATCACCACGTTCATCCAGTGTATATTCCTATTCCGTAAGTATTCAAATTTCATTAATTTAAACTTATTTTAAATATTGAAAATTTTATACGTAGCTATTTGAAGCAACTTTAGAATATACATGATTCAGTTGTGTTAGTGAGTATTGTTTGAACCTAAAGTAAATAAGATAGGTAGGTAGGTATTTTATTTACGTCGCATAGAGCTGCACAATGGGCTATTGATGGCGGTCTGGGAAACATCCCTGGGGATGATCCGAAGACATGCCATCGCAATTTTGATCATCTGTAGAGGGGATGGCTCCTCTGCCTTTGTAGCCCGACGACTTGACCGCGAAGTCGAGCCACTTTACTGTAGAACAGTTTAGCGAGAACCGATACTGCTTACCCTCGGTCCCTATGCGGGCTGATCAAAGTGGTCACCCACCTGCTTACTGACAGCAGTCAGTGATGCTTGACTTCGGTGTTCTACTGGAAGCCGTGCTTTTACGAACAATCCACTGCGGGACAAAGTAAATAAGAAAAAAACTTTAGGTAATTAGTAGTTTTAGTGAATAGTAGTTCGAATAGTAATTTTGATCCTCTGCAAAGGGGAAGGTGGCCTGATTTGATAGCCCGACGAACTGCGAGCGAAGCCTAGTACTTTACAGTAGAACAATTCAATAAGACCAATACTGCTCAGCCTCGTCTCTTCGCAGGCAAATCAAAATGTTCCCCCACCAACTCACTGGCCGTAGCCAGAGCTGCGTGACTTCGGAGATCTACTTGGAACCGTGCCTAACACACAGTTCGCTTATAGACAAAAAAGAGGAAATATACGTGTAAATCTTTACACCACAATCACGGTATTATTTACCGACATATTAGTTTACAGAAACTTCGGAAACAGGAGTTAAAATATTTATGCTGTACGTAATTNTTCACAAAATAAAAGTAGCATGTTACTTCTCAATGGCTCAAAGAAATAAATACAAGTCAAGTTACGAGGTGAGTGATTCAGTTTTCACCGCTTTTTCTTCTCGTAGCAACAGTATCTGGATACATTTTCATCGAGGCAAAAATGTTCGCAAAGAACGAAACTGTTAAAAAACGCCGGTCATCATATGTAGTCTATTCTTCTGAGCCATACAAAGCTCAGTTGCAAAAAATGTTATTACCCCAAGCCAGAAAATACTTTATCGTTTGCTTGAAAATTTTAAAACGATTTCCAACTCTATTTAGGAGTACTAAATTAAAATTTAGAATCAATTTTATTTTTATCAAATGATTATAAAAAATCGTTTACGGCTTTAAACATAAAAAAAGCAAGACATTTTCCTAAAAAGAATTATATTTATTTAGGATGGACAGTCCTCTATTACAGTGGAACTATCCAAAAAAAAAATAAAAAATACTCTCTAGTATTAAAAAAGAAAAAAAATAGAATTAGTTCTGGTTGTATGAAGATTTATGCTTTTAAAAAATCAGTTATTTCAGAAAAAAAAATTTTTTTCACTAATCAAGTAAATAGTTTAAAAAGTGGTATTTTCATTTTTACTTTCAGAGTTAAACACCACAGTCATCATCATCCTCATGACCACCATCATGAAGAATATGGCCATCATCACAACCATCATGCAGAATATAGCCATCATTCAGATTACTGAGAGCCAATTTTGTTAAGTCTACTTTTTTCACTGTTATAAAAATCAGTAACTATTTAAACATTTTTAAATAAAATACCTATTCAGGCAAAAAAAAATTCCATCAACAAAAGAATGCTTCCTAATATTCAATAAGTTATACACACTTTAACTATAAAATAAAAAGAAAACATCTTACATAAACCTTATTTAAAAATAATAAAGTGCATTTCTAGTTAGATTTAATTTCATCACTAATGATATAAAGTTATATTTAATTTCATCACTAATGATAGATTTATCAGAATAATCTTTGAGAAACTTTGACTTCAAAGAAGCAATCTTCAGAAAAAGTCAGTTATCTGATATTTTTAACATTATCTGTAGGCTAAGACAAAATTATTGCTGTTAATCTGTTTCGACATGTATTTTAAAATAATTTTTATAGGTCACTGGTTAAATCCAAATATAATTATAATAAAATAAAAATTTGATCTGACACCAGCAGATGTAGTAGTAGTACACTGTTAAAGCTGCAGTTAATATATTCATTAATATTTTACCATTTGCACATGATCTGTTATATATTAATCAGCATACAGCTTTTGGTTTAACCCTAAATGCACCACGGTGAGACCAGCAGGCTAATTTATTAACAGAGTATATGTATATTTTAATGAATTGAAAAAATCCAAATTTTATCTTATATGAGATTACAAATATGAGATTGAACTTTCAGAAAAACATATGGGAGTCAAGTATAAATCTTAATTAGTCAGAAATATGCAATTTAAATAAATTGCATAAATAATAACTTATTGTATATACTTGTTAAAAAAAACTTTATTTAACATACATTTTATAAATGCAAACTTTGAATTTCAAAAAACTTTCATTTTAATGATCTCATTAACAGATTCAGCATAATACTGTCCTCTAAAAAATGAACTCAACATGCTTCCTCTTCCAAAGGAGCACCTTCTGTCAAGTTTAAAGGTAGAAATCTATGGTCGGGGCTACTATATATTGTGTGGCAAGACATACTTCAAGCGTAACCATGTATAGATGAAACTAAAATGTGGTTTGAACTAACTCAAACTATATGTTAAAGTTTGTACAAATAAGAAAGTTTTTAGACCATTATAAGACATAGGGGGTATCAGAAAAAAAATATTTTCACCAACCTTATACATTAATAAAATTTAAAAAATGTGTGCAGACCATATTCTATTACCCAGCTTGCATTTATCTCAAACTAAATTAATGGAGAAAATAAATTTTGCCACAAACATATTATGTCACACACTTGAAAGTTTGTAACAATAATAAGGGTTTTTTATTTTAACAAAGAATAATCTAAAATCTTGTAGGCATTATATCTTAGGTAACTTGAAAGAAAGTTTGTTTTCCTCATAAATATTTAAAAAAATATCTATTTACTTAGAACAGAACTATATAATACAAAATAATCAGTCATATCAAATACAAAACTGTACAGCAACATATATCCACATCTTACTAAAACATTTGTGCAAGATATTATTTTTTGTTTCAGCATTATTAGTGTAATACAAAACTTGAAGCTTGTTTTAAAAATAAAAAATGCATTACATGCAAGTGTATCGGTAATATTCTATCACATGTTTCGAGCATACTGAATTTCATCAAGTGTATTTAGTTCTGAATATCATTTATGGCTAAGGAGTTCTACTCTTAATCTGGTCAAATGTGTCTTGTTTTCGGTGACAGAGTTGATTTAAAATTCACTCAAAAGGTCACAGAACACTTATCAGCCTTGTATTTATTATAAAAACCCAATAGATATGCCATATTTAGATATGCCATTTTATAATATATTTTATCTCTCTTTGTGTAAGTTAGGTGTTTTGAAGAAGTTAATTCAAAATTTTATTATTAGAAATGCTTGGGCAAACTCAAAAGATCTATCTAACTTCTTATCTATTCAAAAACATTATAAAATAGCAATAGGAATGATCACACATTTTTTAATGATTTAAAAAGACCCATTAGAACAATAATTGCTTCATACGGTCAATGTCTGTAATTAATAAAACTCTTAATTATCTGAATAAAAAATTCATTATTTAAGTTGCTAGATGTCCTAAAGAGGGAAAAAACAATGCAAAATGTAATTAATTCCTTTTTTTTTTTCAAAGGAACCACATAAATAAACAGAAAAGTAGACAGAAATATTTTAATAATGATCAAAATATTTAATTTTGTATAAAATAAAAATAAATAAATAATACTTTTAAAAGTTATCTTTATTAAGCAAATTTATACATTTTCAAAGTACACTTTGAACAAACAGAATGAAAATGTAAAAACCAAACTATTCTGAACAACATTTTTTCCCTAAAAATCTTTACAAATAATTTGGAAGTTAAAATTAATTCAGAGAGGATAGCAATGTACTTTCACTAAAAGGAATGCTTCCAACAAAGATAAATTCATGAAAATTCATACATATATACATGGATATGATCTTAAAAATATTACTTCACATGAAAATATACTGATGACTTCCTCAGAAAATTAAATTAGATAATTTTGCTGAATTATAGTTTTGCCTTAAATTTTCTATTTAAAATATTTGATTACAAAAATGGACAGACCCAAACATCAAAATTGGACAGAGAATAGCAATTGCAGAGAAAAATGATATGCAATTACTTGCATTGAAAATTCTAATTTGTTTCACTTAACTAAATTATATCAAAACAAAATAACAATATTAATGCTTTCCATGAGTGATTAATAAATTTATGATAACTTACACTAGAACTTATTAACTTATGATTAACTTACGCCAGATTAAATCAAAAAATATTTACATTACACGAATCGAAAAATAATTTCCTTGGCATAGATGTGAATCTGTATTTAATTATAAATAATGAAAGTAGTATGATAAATATATAGTATAAATTAATAATGAAAAGATGCAAATCAAAAACAACCCAACAATGATTTGAACATATTTGCATTAAAATGAAAGCTAAGTTAAAGAACTTCATTATTTCTTAGACTAGGGTGTGTGACAAAAAGATAAGCAATAAGATCTACTTTAACATTTTAATCTTATAATCTAAACTTTAAGCAATCATATAAATGACTCTAAATTCGGAACAATTAAAAAATGACATTTGCTTAATGATGTTTAAAGGAAAATTCAAACTACATGTTTAAGAAAACTACATGTTTTATACTCTTACATATATATATAAGAATAAAGTATGATCTACAAAGCGATACATCTTAGCTTTCGAATGAAAATGTTTTCATCACACAGAAAAATAGAGAGCTGATTCTGAATTTATTATAGAGTAAGTTTGAACATTTCATCATAAACCACTTTTAAGCAATGTTTTAGCTAACATAACACTAAACATTTTACTTTTAAAACAAATTTTTAAAAGGTTTATATAATTTATCAAACAAACAAGAACAAAGAAAAAATTAACATGACAGCTCTGCTTTAGAACTGGAAACATTTAAAAATAGAGTTAATAATTTTGTAAAAAAAATTACAATAAGTTTTTTTAAAAAAAATTAGGGTAAAATTTCATTTCTAGAAACAAAAGCAATGACTTTTGTAATAGAAATGTTTTCATTAAATATTAAATAAAAAAATAAGTACATTTTTATAAGTGATTATTTAAAGTAATTATTTAACATAATTATATGTTAAGCACTAAATTTTACACAATACATATGTTTGTAAATATAAATAGGATAATAATGGCTAAATAAAATTAAAAAAAAGAAGTAAGGCAACAAACATCAAGCCAAAAAACTTCATTATTTAATAATTATAAATGGATTGCTTCATAGTTTTCATACTTTATTTTATGTACTGTGGTTCTAAGTCTATAATCCAAATATTTATTTTAACGATAAACTAAGAATGCACAAATATTACTACAATCATAAATTCATAAAGCTTTCTACAAAACCTACATTTTTTCTCTAAGCAACACAAATCAAATCAGAAGATATCACAACTTTATTTTTCCACACAAACCCTTAAATAACTAATGTACAATTTATAAGTAATTTCTTTCCCTCGAATCACACAAATCAAACTGAATCTAAAAATCCTTTTGGTAAAATCCATATATATATATACACACATATAAATAGGTATCTCGCTTTTATCAAATGCAATAACTAGTTTAATATCTAACACAAAACTCTATTGAGCTTATGTTTGTCCGATAAAGAAAATTTACATATAAAATATCATTAATTAGGGAAGATAAATACTGTATTTCAAAAAAGAGAACTTTATCAAATAAAAATCTCAGAAATGCCTTATACAATTATTTTTTTCAGTTTTCATCATCAGCTTCATCTGGATCTCCATCTTTTTCTATTAGTTTTCGAGCCAATTTCACAGCATAAAACTCATTATAGTGCATTTTTCTTTTGTATTCAAAAGCAGACCTTTGAGCTACAAAAAATAACCACGTTTAAAAGAATCCACAAAGAGAAAAAATTTTAACAAGCAAAAATTCTGTAATCTTAACTATTAATAAACAGCAGATATAAATTTTACATCTAATTCATTAAATTTTACTTCTTAAAGAAACATCCCTTACATATTTTACTGTATGTAATTATGAACTAGTACAATATTTCGCACAAAAGTATTTTTACACATGAGTAAAATTATTAACATTATGTAATTGCTACCTACTAAAATACTACAAAGCAGCAAAGAAAAAATATAGAACTGTTCATTTAAAATTTGTAGAAAACTTTTTCGTCTGCTAAAATATATTCAGTTCCTCCTAATACTTTTTCAGACATTTGAATTACAACAGACAAACGTCAGTTTGTATACAGGTTATTTTTAGGACATGAAGTTATTTAAAAATAACTTTAAAATTTAAACAGATAAATACTATATAATATATAAACATCAAAAACACGTTTTACACAATTTACCTAACACTTGTTTTTTAAAAAGAAATTGAGAATATTTACAAAAAAAAACAATCGAAAAATTTTGCACTAAAAAGTATTAAAATTGCATTTAATCTACTCTGTAAAATCGACTCACATTCTCAATCTACTCCGTTAATAAGCAGATTTATATAAGCTTTTATCGTTAACTATACACAATGCAAGAATATACATCTGACCTCCAATTGAGATTTAGTGTTAGTACCAAATTTACAAAATTGAGAAAATGTTGGGAAAAATAGAAACAATTTTTTTTTTAAAAACTTACGAAATCTAAAGAGGAAAAAATATAAAATGATATAAAACAAAAAAATTTCTATGGTTTTGCTCGAGAAAGTAAAAATTACAATATTGGGTGTAATTTATACATGAAACAAATCAGAACGAAGTAAATTTTAAATACATTATGTTCAATTTATCTTAAAATGTGTTGCAAAAACTTCTTGTATAGCCTTTGAAAAAAAACAGATAAGGGCAGAAGAAAAGTCAGCAGTTTTTTAATAGCATTAATTACAAATAAACTGCCAATTCAATATAATTTTTAATAAGTTTTAGTCACAATTCATTTTGAGTAAAAAACATTAATAAAACGCAATAGATTTGGCATTGAAAACTAAAAATCTGGCTAGAATAACAATTTCATATTTTTTATTGTAAGTAAGCTTAGGGTGTTTAGATTGATGGGGGAGGGGGGGGAGAGATTTATTTTCATTTTTACTTTTATTCATTTTACTTTATATTCTTCAGTAAGCTGAAATCATCATCATAATGGTTTGAAATTAATCCTCATGAATTCCATTCTTTGCGTTAATATTTAGTTTTTTTTTTTTTTTTTTAAAGCCATTTTCAAATTTTTGAATTAAAAAACATCTCAGGGACAGTAAAAAATGAGGAAATAAAAATAAAAAACATTTTAATTAATCATTTTTAACCTTTTTAAATTGAATAAACATTCAAATCAAAAAAATTTCCACAAATTCAGTTAAAACTGAGAATGGGGCTAAACTAGGAACTATGGTCTAAAACAGTGGTTCCCAACCTTTTGTGAACCATCGCCCCCTTCTTGGGGTTGGCTGACACATATCGCCCCNATTTTTAACCTTTTTAAATTAAATAAACATTCAAATCAAAAATTTTTCCAAAAAATCAGTTAAAACTGAGAATGGGGCTAAACTAGGAACTATGGTCTAAAACATTTAAAAAAGCCGAAATCAGGAGGGAAAAGGGGTAGGAAATCTCCAAGATGAATAAAAAGACAATAATTTTTTTTTTAGTTTAGTTGAATTTTGCATTTGAAGGCCAAATTTTAAGCAAAATAGAATGCAACAAACTATAGAATTAAGAATTCAGTAGATTATAATAATAGCTAATTATAAGAAATATGGATCACCATACATATGCCAGGTTGCTATGGTGTCTAAAGAATAACAGCAAGCATACAATATTATGGTATTTATCTAATTTCTTTTGACTCAAAAATCTGAATATTTCTGCACATAATGAAACAAAACAGATGTTTTTTTCTTAATATAACATCCAACTACTACATTTTTAAAATCTACCTCTCATATTAACTAGAATTATAACTTCTGATCTTGAATTGAGAAAACGAAAAACCCAAGAAAAATATTTCAACATAGAATAGTAATACCACATAAGCAAACAAATTCTAGTAATTGTGGAATAATCTCAGCTCTAAAACTGGAGTAGAACAGTGCAGTAATTTTTAAATTATAGCAACTAACTGATTCAAAGTTGTAATGGGTTTGATGCGGTCTGTGTAAATTAAAAATGCTTCAAAGAAAACATACTTTATTTAATTTTAGATGGTATTAAATTAAAAATAATAATTGATGTTAAATGACATCTTAAAGTGTAGCATAAATGTGTTACTTTCATTGTAAATCTAAAAACTAGTTCAGTTAATTATAAAAAAAATTTGTCGAGGTTCCCAGAACTTCTTCAAGCTTTTGTTGAAAAAGCTATTCTCAATTTCAATAAATCTGAAATAAAATAACCAATGCAAAAAATAAAAAAAATCAAATATTTACAGACATTTTTTCTGCATGAAGCTTATTGATTTACAGCTATAATACTAACGAATAAAAAGAAATATTACTGTTGCAAAATATGAAAAAAAAACAGTTCACAAAGAATTTAAATGAGCAAAACAACTAATTCATTAGTTATTTTTACCTCTTTCTTCTTCAGTTTCATCTTCTTCCTCATTATCTTCTTCACATGGTGATTCCAAAGCAACAGGTTTTTCATTTTTTTCAGAACATAAATTTATTCTGAAAATTTTAACACATAATTTTTTATTATTTCATTTTGAACAAAATAAAAACTTTCAAACATTATTTTTAAAATTAATTCAGACGACAGGCACAAGTCAAATAAATCAAAAGTTGGAAAAGACAGTGCAAGAAAAATAATGTTAGGTCTAAAACAGACAAAGAACAATGCTGTCAAATGCACCGATATTACAACAATCCTACTTACACACAGGGTATCTGCTACATTTTAGATTTTCAAATTCATGACTAATTCCAAGAACTTTTCATGACTTAACAAAGTTACTATTTTCTCCGACGAAAACAGAACAATAAATTTAAAAAGGCATTATAATAACATTAATTGAAATGATACGTAAAACCAAAACTGTTATACTCTGCATCTTCTTATTTATAGATTTTAAATTGATAAAAAAAATAGATAAATAATAATTAAAATTCTGAAATCACAGAAGTTTAAAAGATAATTAGCTCTAGAAATATTTTTTCTTTCATTTTTTGAAAGAACACCAAAATATTTAAAGAACATGATAAAAACATTTTATATTTTAATGAAATGTGACAGTGAGTGGGGATTTTGTTAGAAATTAAGATATTCGAAACACCATGAAATTTGGGCATTCAATTTTAAAAATTAAATTTTTCGGCAACCTAAATCCATGACTTTTCATGACTTTTTTTTAAAAAATAGTTAAAATCATGACATTTCATGACAAATTTAGACAAATACCGAAATTCATGACTTTCCATGATTTTTCATGACTTTCCAGGTACGCGGATATCCTGTACATACATAGTATTTATTCAAATCTAAGCCACACTTTTTTTCTATTGTATCCTTTGCTACTGAAAATCAGGTGCTGCTTAGAATCAAAGGCGGAAAAAATTATAGGAAAAAAAAAGTTTCCAATTAGACTTTAATAAATTCTTTTAAAAAATGGTGCATAACAAATACATCCGATGGCACAGAAGACACAGGGTTAAAAAATGGCGACATCAGCACCCAGAGGTCTGTCTAGGTTTTTCGGAGAGGTACCAATTTTGTGAAAATTTATACATGATTTGCGAAAATTAAAAATTATATTAAAAAATCAACACAGAAATAAGGTGAAAATTGTTTCTTAAGAGATACAAAAATAAAATTTTAAGAAAAAGTATTTCGTGAAATACTACCGTTTTTCCTAAACTTGAATTTGGGAAGGTACTGCTAAACGGTAGTAAATTTGGCCTGGACAGACCCCTGGCACCGATTCTGAAGTCCAAGACAGTGGGAATGATGAATTGTTTTTAGAACAGAATATTGACTCTTTGTGCAAGTACAGGCTCATGTCATGTATGCATTTAAAAGTTTCTAATACAGGTGAAATAAATCACTCATTTAATAATTCATAATTATTATACTCATTTAAAATAAAATTTCAAATTTCGTAAATGTCAAATAAGCTTTTTTACACAATTTTTTTTTTTATTTTTGTTCACAAAAAAATGCTGAAAATTTAAGGTGTGGCTTAGAATTGATGGCAGCTTAGATTCAAATAAACACAGTATCTACTTTAGCAATCAATAATATGCATGTCAAAGAAATAACAAAAGAAAATATTTCTTTTTCTAATTATAGTACCTTAATCGTCATAACATAATTTTAACAGTTAAGCACAGAATTTTTAAAAAAAATCTAGAAAACATTTTAAAAGAAATTATGTTACCATAAATTTAAAACAATTTCAGAGGAACATCTGTGATTGATTATCATTAGGCATTTGATAACAGAACTTTCGATAATTTAATATTTCAATGTTTTGGTTTATTGTAATGTGATCAGATACAAAAAGATAAAAAAAAAGTTGCGGTAGTAATAAAAAACACTAAACTAATATTCTAACATTACAACAAAGCTAAATTCTGATTTCTTTTTCAATCTCCAATATTGATCTGGAAAAAAAATTTCATAAAAAAAAAGAAGAAATAAAAAAATTTTAAAAATTAAGCAGATGTCAAATAATGATGGGCCATAGTTATATTTTACTATATTGTTTTTTTTTCCTTTTTTAATACTTCTACATTACAATTGTTTCTGTTTGCACACTAAGAAAATCCACTTCATTTAATGCATTGATGATTTGAAGATTTTGACTCATTTTATTTCATACAAACAAGTGAACTGTTCTATTTATTTAAGAAGCAGAACAATACACAAACACTGAAGAAAAAAAAAGTAGCTTCTTACATAAAAAATGCTATCAAATACTCATTAAAACAAATTACTATAAAGTATTCTTTTATCTTACCTAGTATAAAGTTTAATTTGCCTCATTTTGAATAAATTACTTTAATGATTTGATTTTATTACACCTCATAATATAATGCCATATTAACAAATATGATATTAAATTTACATTACATTGATTTCTTTTTTTCAAACCTTAGCTGAGTATCAGAACTGGTACTTTAATTTCTATTTAGAACAACTTCATAGTACCCACTGCAATTGCATAAGTACGACGGTTCTTACTGTAAATATAACATGTATAGTGGATTTTGCTTGAGGATAGCCAATACTTTTATGCTTGAAGAAAGTATATACCTTTACATATTAAGTTTCTCATGTCTACCACTCTGTTTTTGCCAAAACTAGATGGTTTAGGTCTTCTTGATACAAGATCATATATCCAGATTGGTCTGGTACCCAGCAAATGGAAAAGTTCTAATGACACTATATAACAAATTCAAGCAAAATGTTCATTACGCTTTAAATATACTGCTTACGTTACTCGCCTGTTTGTTTAAAATAAACACTCAAGTAAAATACACTTAGTACTTTTACTTCTTCATGACACCTCTATTTTGATTATACAGTGATCCCTCGTTTTTCGCGGTTAATGGGGACCAGAGCCTTCCGCGAAAGCTGGAAACCGACGAAGTAGGATTTGCCAATAGGAATTTTTGTGTATGCATGAATGTTTTAAATGTGTAAACAGTATTTATACTTTACACATTTAAGACAAAAATTACAACAGTATAAATAATTACTTAAACATGTCTGTGCTAATTAATAAGATTAATTGCAAAATCGGGAGTGGAGTGCTTTAAAGACACGAATGACACCTCTTGATCCATCGGCTGAATAAGAGGTGTAGTGTTCGGGGGCAGAAACTCTACCTGCACACCGTCACGCTGCAGGTCTGTTGCATGGCCTCCTGTACAGTCCATCAGGAGAAGGACCTTAAAGGGGAGGCCCTCTTCAGCCAGATACAGCTTCACCTGGGGAATGAAGCAATGGAGGAATCATTCAAGGGTGAGAGCTTTTGTTATCTGGGCCTTGGAGTTATGCATCCAGAACACGAGCAACAGAGCCGTATTTTTGTTTTTTAATGTTCCTGGATTTTTGGCTTAATAAATAAGCATAAGCTGGTTTAAGCATAAAACCTGCAGCATTGCCAGCCGTGATGACAGTCACGCAGTCTTTGTGAGCCTTGAAGCCTGGCCTTTATGAGAGACCGTGGTATATGTACTCTGAGTCAACTCATCTCTTTGTTTGACATGCAGGGATCCTTCTCTCTCGCGCATCAACATTAAACAACGCTTTTTTTCCGCAATGTCGCTGCCGACATGATTGTATTTTTTCATTTTTATTTTTTGATGAATATTTTGAAAAAACCCACGAAGCACTGAAGCCGCGAAACATGAAGCGCAAAGTGGCGAGGGAACACTGTACGCAGAAAATAAAATTAAGATAACAATCATAAAAGTAATATACAATAAAATAACAAATAATATATTGAAAAAAATAAAACTTTATACATAAAGATAACTACTTTTTTGCTAATAACTCAGCATCCAATGTGTCATCACCATGTCCAGATATTTCTTTACCAGACTGATCTTCATAATAGCTGTAAGGCGTCTTTGGTTCATCAATTTTCATGTGGCCATAATCTTTATCAGGAGGGTGAAGAGTTTGCAAAATATTCATTTCATCCCATTTAATATCTAATGGATTACTGAAAAAGTAATGAAGTATCCATTTTAATTTTCAGATGGAAAAAAATATTAACAAACTGCTGACTATTAAATAAAGTCATGGCCAAAGGAGTGCCAGGTAGGTCGAAGCCCAACAAGAAAATTTTCAAAAAAATAAATAAATTATATCTAATAAAGTTAATATTATACATTATAACCTCAAAAATCTGGACTTAATCTGGAGCAGAGGTTCAAAAGGTGCTGATTTTAGAAAATTCCAAAATTTAGATAATTCACTACAGCTAATTAGATATATGAAAACTACAGGATCAAAATTAAAAAATGCTGTTTATTTTATCTCAAGCCAGTATGGTTTTCTTTTTTTCTCTAATTTTTTGAATAGTTACTCTATAAATTCACGACAATTTCAAGTCACGCCATTGAACAATCTCTTTTTTTATGGACACATTTGGTGAAGTTGAAACCATAAATTTGCTTAATTTCGTATTTAATTTTTAATTGACAGTTCTCACAATCCATTACTATTTGTTTTTTATAATACCATAACTAAAACGTTTTTACAACACACGGATTTCGAATCACACATTTAAGTAGTTAATTTTTAAGCAGAATTTCATTTGCAACATTTTCACAAATAATTATATGACCTTGATTGTATTTTTCAGCAGTAATTGCTACTAATTTAATAAAATCTTAATATTTTTAATAATAAAAAAATAAAACTGTAGTGATGATCTTATCCTAAATTCTCATTATTTTATTCATTGCCTTTTCAGCAGTTACTACTACGGATTTCACATGGTTTTTAAAATTGATTTTTTTCAAATATGATATTACTACAGGAGATGACTATAATTTAAAATTGCGTTCATTTTTTCTTATCATGAGTTGAAAAAATGGGTCCCCATTTTGGAAGTTTCCAGATTTGTGAGATTATTTCATATTAATCAATATACTATACAAACTAGTTTGCATAGTTACTGTTTCAGATAAATATTCCTATTGACATTTAATCAAAAAAAATATTGATGTTGAAAAAGACAAAAGAAGTATACCAAAAAATTTACCAAAGTATACCAAATAATTAATGCCACCCTGCTCATGTTGGAACACCACACCTGCAAAATTTACGACATATTCCCCCAGTTTGAAATAAATCAGAACTTTTCTCAGTGCACCCTTCCCTTTGGTAAACAAAAATGTTTTTAAATTTGAAGTTGAAATATCCTAATAATATGAATTTGATTAAAGCAAGGCATCATTAAAGTTAAAATATTGTGACGCTTATCGGCATTCAAAATTAAAACTAGGAAAAGAGATTCAATAGAAGCTTCTAGAATTTCCCAAAAGGAAGTATCCCAGAAAACTGAAATGAAAATTCATGAGTGAAGTATTGCTCCCTCTCACATTAAATCTGAGTATTAACAATATTCTTTAATAATATTTTAACTTATGTTAAACTACAATAGAGTTTTCTTCTGCTTCATGATGATAAAACTTTATAGCCTTTAATTACAGATATGAACAAGTAGTGTCACAATATAAAAGGTGTATATTGAAATAGAATTAAAAATGCACTTTATCATCACCAAGAAATGACAATAAGTCCGAATAAGAAGGAAATAATATCCAATATATTTCTTTCATAAGACCTATTTGAACTAATAAACATTATTAATCTGTTCATCGTTATAGGAGTTGTATGAACCAAAAGAGACTGTCAAAAATTATTATGTAAAAAAATAATAAAAATAAATAATATTGCAACTCTAAGGTGATATAAACATTCAACATTAAATCGAAAAATAAATATCATCTTATTTGTCTTTGAAACAAAATATAAAATACTTTTTATTGGCTTCAGGATTATTAAAACTTGTTGAAGACTTCAGAATACCCTTGGCAGGCTTTTTGAGCAAGTTTTCTGTCATTACTGATTATGTAAATTTAACACGATATTCGATGCATTACACTTTTTACGTCAAGGTTTATTTGCTGTCGCTAAACCGAACACCTAAAAATATATGCAAAAGAGAAAAAACAACAGCAATCCCACTCTTGCTAGCAAATACAAATTTTTTTCTGGACGACAAATTTGGCTTCACTTCATTTTGCCGTGTATTTGTTTTGTTGCCAAATTTAGAATTGCAATATGAAAACTTAAGTCATGAGAATGGACTTTGACAGATACATTAACTTCAACTGCTAATGAGTCCATTGTGCAACTCCAGTGCGACGTAAATGAACAACAATCAACTGCTGATGTAAGTTCTCGGTAATGTACAGTCGGCAAAAAAAAAAAGATATCACCCTGAATAACTTTTGTTCTAATGATCGGATTTTCACGATTTAAGTGTCAATCTTAATGGTTCCTGGGGGTGACCTCAAATATGCTAATTAATTAGTGCTAACTATTAATTAAGTTACGAAATCAGACACAAAAACGTACTTTCTCTGAATAAACAT